AACGACTGATGACGGGTCGGTTTGGCGCGCTGCCGCCCGACTATGCAAACGATATAAACACATTCCGCCCCTTGAAATGGCCAATGCTAACTAGATGACTTTTACAGACACTGAAAAGGCTGAAGTTATTGCTGGCAGCCTTGCTACACAATTCAGTCCAAATATCGACGACTACTATAACCATCCGGTTACACAGGAGTGCATACACTCACGTGTTGAACATTTCTTAACACAACCCATCACGCCTTATCTCAGGCCGAACTGATCCAACTGAGGTGCTGGAGTTCATCGATAAAGTGAAACTGAAGAAGGCCCTTGGCATAGATCAAATTTCGAATCGCATGATCAAAAACTTCCCCATTATCTATATTGTATGGATTACGGTCTTGATTAACCTTATGCTTGAAAGGTGTTACTTCCCTGACTGTTGTAAAATTGCAGTCATTCCTATACCAAAACGGGGTCAAAATTTAAATCTCCCCATCAACTACAGGCCTATTAGCCTCTTATCCTCTCAAAATATATGAATTTGTTTTACTTAAACGCCTGAATGAATTCCGCCGTGATCGAAATTTAATAATCCCGGAACAATTTAGCTTCCGGCCTGAACACTCCACAGTACACCAGTTACTCCGTGTAGTGGAATTCATTCACGAGGGCTTTCGTAAATGAAAGAAAACTGGAATTGTCTATCTTGACATTGCCAAGGCCTTTGACAGGACCTGGCATGACGGGCTTATTTACAAGTTCATGCGGCTTGGTTTTTCAGCACTAAAACTATCAATTCGTACCTGACAGGTAGATCCTTTCAGGTGCGAGTTCGCCACGAAAACTCAACTCCCCGCCCGATCTGTGCTGGGGTTCCACTAGGAAGTTTGCTCGGACCTCAAATGTTCAACATCTACATAAATGACATACCTAAGTCACCTAATGTCGATCTGGAACAGATGCAGACGACACAGCCATCATGAACCAACACTCCAACACCTCCACGGTAATTTCTGCACTGCAGAATTATCTTTCAAGCCTAGAGCTCTGGCTCGGACTGTGGAAGATCAAAACTAATGTTGCTAAATGTGCTGCCACTTTATTTATCTGAAGTACTTTCACAAATTTACCTAACTTGCAGTTCTTTGGAGAACCAATTCCCTGGGTTCCTACTATCTAGGAGTGATACTTGATTCAAAATTAACTTGGCAACCTCACATTCAAAAAAACAATTTCCAATGCGAAGGTTGTCAAAACCCAATTACTGCCTTTTTTTGCTACAAATAGCAACCTGTCCACGAAAAACAGGATTTTGCTCAATAAATCAATGATAATGCCAATTCTGACATATGCTAGCCCGGTTTGGGGCGCAGCAGCAATTACTAACAGGAAACATATCCAGATTTTTCAAAATATTATGTCTACGACAAATTTATAAAGCTCCTTGGTTTGTTACAACGAGGATATTCATAATTCAGCCAAAATTCTCCCCATGTGAATCGCTTAATAGCAGCGAGTTTTGGGTAATTTTTTCCGAAAGATTCCTTTCGATCGGAAAGCCCTGTAACTCTACTGCCTTGCCTGTTTATCATCCGGGAATTGCATCATGAAGAAAGAGACCCAGAGCTACTGCTGGAGAATGCATATAATGTGCTTCCTTTTCCCAAGAGGCGTTGGTATGGAGATGAGGCGTCTTGAGGGTTTCACTACACTCGTTCGTGTCGCTCCCCTGCACCTGAGTGAATTCGCTGACCTCTTCAGCTTCCCTCAGGGTCACTCTCTCTTTGTCCAGTAATCAGGCAAACTTACTTCTTTGAACCGTAAGTAGTTGTTACCTGACTTTAAGCACGCTTTTGTTCCCTTCTTAAAAGGAGTTCTAGTGCATTGATTATTATTTTTATTTAAATTTAATCTCTTTAAGAGAACTTAATGCTTTTTCATTAGTTATCATAACACTTAAAGTTTATGCAATCTTATTATATTTATAAAAGTTTCTCCTCAGAATCATTGCTGGCCGTGTCTCTTTAACTCGCCTAACGAGTTCCCGCTTTTCCCCTCCCCCAGACCCGAAGCACTTGCGACATGAAGTTTTTCGCGAGTGTTTCCGCTCTCGTGTTGTTAACACCACATGACCATTGATCAAGAAAACATAGATGCTTTTCAGGCCCTTATTCGACACCAAAATTACCAAATTAAGTCCTTCAGTGTTTTTACCTTTTTTCACTATGGAAGGCAGTTACTCTTTTTGTTAAATTAACATTTTGGCACTAAATTTACCTCTTTGCGGAACCCTCTTTTTGTTGATAAAGATAATTCTTTGACGATGTGGGGATAAAGGCTACATGCCTAAGAGCCCTGTAATAGAACCCTTCCTTGGTCCTTGGGTCATTTTTGCATAAAAAGCCCACCAGCGGCCGAGCAATAAAGTCGCTGAACACTGGTAGTTCGGTCCGAGGTTCGAATCCCGCGAACAGGCTGGCTGCATGGGTGTTTTCGTAGTTTTCCCCATGTGTAACATGTATACGAGCTAGTTTCCCTTAGAAAGTCCTCCACGAAGGCATCTCTCCCTTTAGGCAGATAGCCCTCGAGGCTTTGGCGTAATTAAATAACCTAACCTAACCATTTTAGCATAAATTTGTATGATCGGTAATTTGGCTCCATTGCTGCATATCTACTTGGCACACATCTCAAACCGAAATTTTCCACATAGATACAGCGTTGACCTGGCGAATCATTATTTATTATACTTTCCTTTCATCGCGTTTATCAACACATGATAACTTGAGTAATGACTCATGTAGCGATGACTAAACAATTTTTTTATGTTAGTAATTGAATAACAAAGGAGTATGGTACCCTATTCTGTTGACATTACGCTTGGCGATGATTACAGATTTAAGTTACACGCGCTAAAAAATGTTGACAAGGAAAAATTTCTTTCCATATGCTAAAAATAGATTTTGTTGATGATACTCATAGACCCAAAGATTGCATTTAGGGCTATTTGAATTAAGAATAATTGATTTGTTTTTCATATAAACCCAGAATCAGCAGCAGGTCTCAGAATTTAGGACCCACAGAGACTACATCAGGTGGTAAGATATCTAGCACCTGCCCTCAATAAGGCTTAAGTATATGTGGGAAGTTACTTATTCAGAACAGGATTTTGTAAAGAAATGTGGAGAAGTGGTAATAAATGAAGATGATATAAAAGAAATTTTTCATTGTGATGACAATGCTTCTCAATCATTAATCAATTAATGAATGGCGAAATCTGTAGTATGGTTTCTACATCCAGAAAATACTGCTACCAATAGTGAAGAAAGTGACAGAAAAGTTACTGAAAACGAAAGAATTTCGAACGACAAATTAGTCGGAATTCTCAACACAGCAGTTACAGGACTTCAACAGTGTAACTAAACAAGAGATTATGTCTGTCTACAGAATTAAAGAGAAAGGATTAGCACAAAAAACGAAGCAACTTAAACAACTTGCAATGAAAGAAATATTTAATAAGGTAAACAAATAAATATTAAGCTTTTTTTTTGTAAATTTTGATACCCTTTGATCATAAATACTTCATTATTTTATAAATCAATAAATCACGATTTCATATTTTTAATTTTAATATCTCTATATGCCATCTTACTAGATTTAAATTGATGATCTAATATCCGGAATTGCCGGATTTCAGACTTTGTACTGTATTAAAATGGAATGTACTATTAAAACAACCGATATATACAAATAACTATAAAAATAAAAAATCTGAACTATTAAAAAAATTTTTGGGTAAAAGGGAAATAGCTGTTTTGTGATTTTTTATTAAAAAATGTACAAAATATTTGATTTTACAAATATATATATATATATATATATACAAATAATCAATCATCTAATATCACTGGTACAAAATATTGAATTACAGTCAAACCCTGCTATAACGAATGAACCTTTTGGTCTCGTCCAATTTTCTTTACACCTATTATTATTTTACTTTGCAACAGCAAACCCCTAAAAAAATGAAAATTGGAATGTAACGAATTGTATGGATATTTTCAACTTTTTTTTGTTTTTGTTTTTCATATTTTTTTCCTAATTTCCACTTAAGCGAAAAAAATTACTAAAACTTAAAATCATCCATGTTTAGAAAGTTTGCATCTACATTAAGGTGGGAGAAAAAAACACTTTTGTTATTATAATTTTTCTATCACTATACCCCGTAAAAGTTGCAATCATCTAACATGCAGAATGAAAAAAAAAATGTTTTCGTATATAAAAATATATCTCATTCATGCATCGCACTCAAAATTTTGAAAAATACTGAAAATTTTCTGTTTTTGCCTTTTTTTTATAATTACTTTATTCACTACTATCAAAATGCAGTTGTTTCTCATGTGAATTTTGGGACATGAGGATCATGATAAAAAGTTTAAAACTTGTAATTTTAAATTTATTATTGTTTACACAAAAGGCTCAAAAACACCATTTGTGGTAAAAATAAAAATAACATTATCTTTTAACTTCTGATATTTTTTTTTTTTTTTTAAATAAAGAAATGGTAAATATTTATTACTTTATTATTCAAAAGAGTGCACCTTAGTTTTTTGGGAAAATGCCGGCTTACATCTTGATGTAAGGGTTGTTCTAATCAAGCCTTCGTGTCACATACCTTAGATGCTTCAGTCAAAATGTTCAATTTCTAGCCTGAATGTGACAAAACTTTGGAAATCCAGTTGCAGCAATGTAAAGCAGACTTTAATACATTTTTTATGTCGTCCTCCTATTATTCCTTAACCCCTTAACGCATTTGCCCGTGTCTCACACGGGCGAAAGTTTCCAGCAAATTTGCACATGCCCGTGTCTCACACGGGCGCCCTTGTATCTCGCGTTATTTTATTTCTAATGCTTGTCTGAGATCCGTTCCAGTAAAAATAAATAGGCTAGATTATAATTAAACTTATTTGACATAGATAGCACCACTATTCAGCATTTTTCTTGTGTAAACCACGTGGCGCATTTTGATGATTAGCTATAAGTTTGCTAGGAATTCTTTGCTATAAAGTAGTCGTTTGGTGTGGAAAAGGTAATATATCCATTTTTATTACGTAAATATAATAAAAGTAAGCAGTTAACTGCAAATTATATTACTAAGTGTTTTTGTAATTTAAAAAAAGTTATCTGATAATGAGCGACTCTGACGATGACAATTTTGAATATGCCAATTTATCAGACAGTTTCAGCGATGAGAGTGATGATTTCTTGAGTGATGGAAGTGAATCGGAAGATAATGACAACGAGATTTTGGATATAGCAAGGAATTGGTATCAAATTAGTATAAATCAACCAAACGTTGCACCACCGAGATTTCGATTTGAAGCTAACCCTGGCATGATTATGCAAGAAAAAAAAATAGGTGATTTTTTGACTGAAAATTAGAAATTAATGTGTGCCTTAAGGGGTTAATAATGGAGAAGGAAAGATATTGCAACTGTCCCACTAAATTATGCTGACTGAATTAATGGTTAATAAGTTGTAAATTTTGAGTAAAATATCAATGAGTTCTAATCACTTCAGAGAGTATTAGACCGCCTATGAAATTTTTGCTCTTTTATATTTTGAACCAAAGAAGTGTGTAACAATTCAAAATAAAATATATCAACTGCCTAATTTCAGCAATATGTTTTTCTAAACTCTTATAAAGTCCAGGAATTACCTACTGTCAGCTTGAATGTGAAAGCAGACTAGATCTGCTCCTAAATAATATAATTTTATTTATTATCCCCCCCCCCACAATTTTGCTCTGCTAGGTGATAGGCAAATTTTCCAAGGTATAGTGATAAAAAATTTTTAAAAGGGCTTTTTTATCCCACTCTAATCTACATTCTATCCGTTAAAGGAAAAACTTTCATGTTACTTTTCTTTTATCCTTCCCCTGACCACATCATAGCACTTAACTAAGTGTGAAAAACAATGACTCTGTGAGACACAATCCTAAGAGAATGAGAACATTATATGGTGTTAGTGACCATTCGACCAAAAAACATGAATGGGTTCTCTTATTCTATTCAAATGCTTTGACTGAGTTATCAGTCAGAATTCTAATCAAAGCTGATGTTAAAATGAAAATTTTCAGTTATTCAGGGAATGATCGTTGTCAAATTGTTTTGTCTGAGTATAAATGTTCTCTACATAATGTTCTTTGAATAAGAGTTTTACATTCTTTAAGTCTTTTGCTAGACATAGCATTTTTTTTTTTTTTTCTTTTTTTTAAGTGTGTTGAATCTTTGCTTTGCAAGCATGGATAAGATTATTCTGCAATCTGCATCATCCTGAAGAAAAGTTCTAACTTACTTTTGTCTTCAGAAGTTAGATAAAAATAAAGTCGTCCAATATTTCTGTTGTTCATTATTAGTGTTTTATACTGTTATGGATAACATAATTATGCATAAGGATCAGACTAATGATATTTATGCTCAGTAATTTATGGACTGGAAAAGAATAATCAACTGATTTAATGACTGAGCATAGTAATTATAACTAAATTTTAATATAATTTTTTAATATAATTTTTTAAAATCATATTTAATATTCACTTCTTTTGATAGACAATGTCAACTGCCCCCTTTTTTTAAACATTTTCGTGAGATAATATATTTTTTATAGGATCAGATGCAGCAAACCAAACTTCCAGTCCCTTGAAATTCATTATAGCTGGGTTCATCTGTAATTAATTTCAAAAGTTTATAGTAAATCCAAAGAAGTCCTATATGCACCAGTGAAAGCCCAAAGTTGTGTACATAATTTTCGACTGTGATCTACAATTACCTCATTCGGTGTTGAATCCAAATGAACACAGAAAAATTCATAGCACAAGATATGTTCAAATGAAGCATCAGGAAAGCATTCCTTAACAAGTTTTCTGCATTAAAAAATGAAGCATGAAAAAAAAGGTATACTGCAATAAAAATAGTTATATAAATGTTCTTTTGTAATAAAAATTATATTCATTATTTGTCCTTACCCAATAAAAATATATTCTATATATGTTTTTACATACATGAAAAAATGTACAAAAGTAATTAGTACATATAACAGTATTACTAATTCAATAAATTATTAAACAAAAATTATATAGATTTAAATCATGACTTACTTGTAAAAATTTCCACAAAGGATTCCTTTTGCAGGGAATTTCTTCAAATTAGGATATGATGTAGGCTTAATTAATCTGCCCTGCAAATATTTAACTTGCTTTTAAAATATTCTGATAAACTTTGAGAAAAATCATGAGGCAAAAAATTTTTACATGAAAAATCAGTTAAAAATTTAAATTAAAAATCTTTTTAAAAATCTTAAATCTTCATAAACCAAGTGGATTTTTTAAAAATGGATTATAGTATTCTAATTATCTCTGTTGTATTATGGCATTTTAATAACTTAAAATTTTCTTTTCTAATATGTAAATTATTTTAATATGTATAGCTTCACTAAATATGTTTTTTATAGCACAGGAACGGCACACGTTTTCCAGAAAGCTAAAAAATGTCCTACTTGTTTATAAGAACAGTAATATTACAATTATTGCTGTTCACTGTAAAACCATGGCCATGATGTTGGTTGGTTGGTTGGTTGATTTTTTAATGGCACAAAACCTCGAGGGTTATTATGCACCAGACAAACGGTGAATAAAATTCAAGATACACAAACACACTATATCAAATGAATTGATGAGATGAACCTGAAATGCTGATGAAGGCATGGAGAAATGCTTTAGCAACAGGTAGAGCAGGTTAAAAGGAAAATAACTTCAAATCATATGGTAAAAAGAGATGTCTTTTAAAAATCTTATGAGGTTGATGTGGGGGTTTCTTCCAATGAGATCTGTTAACATTTGTTGAGTTAAAATGGTAATCACGTTTTTGACTAAAAGTAGGACAGCAAGTTAAAATGTGATTGACTGAAATGGGAACATTGCAAGTGCCACAAATAGGCTCATTATCTCCTTTCAATAGATACTGATGTATCAGTCTGCAATGACCAAATCGTAGGTGAGTCGGCAGTACATCCTCCTTTAGATTCCCTCTCGGCTCCCAATACTCCACATTAGGTTTTACCTGCCTTAATTTGTTCAGAGTCTGGCATTCCCAGAATTCTTGCCACTTGGACAAGATCTTTGATCTGATGTAATTCTGTATGTCTGCAAAAGGGACATCATTTTCAGTGGTAACTGCGGCAGATTTTGCTGCGACGTCGACGAGTTCATTGCCTTTAATGCCAGCATGGCCAGGCCCCCAGCAGTACACAATAGAATAACCTGGGTTTCTCAAATGGAGGTCTGCCTTTAAAATTTTTAAGACCAAAGGGTGGCCAGTATTTGTATTTATTGAATCAAGAGCACTCAGAGAGTCTATGATGAACTTTCTGCTATTCTGCTTAGAAATAAAGATTAAGGAATCCAAAATGGCAAAAGTTTCTGCAGTAAAGACAGGTGCAGCCTTATGAAGTTTACTACTCTTGATTTCTTTATCACAAACAAAAGCTGCCCCAACATGATCTTGATTCTTTGAGCCATCAGTAAAAATTGCTCTATAGTTGGAGTAACTTTTTCTATGCTCCAAAAAATTTTGTTGATATTGGACATCATTGGTACTGCTCTTCTTCTCCAATAATATTAAGTAGGTGAATATTCACTTCTTGCCAGGGAGCAATACCGAAAAAGTCAAAGCTTTTGGGGTGCAAATCAGATGAAAAATTAGCAACCACCTTCGCTGGGAATCGAACCACAGACCTCTGGAATACCAGCCCAGCATGCAGAACCACTACACCACGAAGGCACGCTAGGAAAGTGGGAGATACCTTATATACTCCCCTTTTTAATGAGCGACTGGTCTTTTTCTTTAGGGGACCCAGTCGCCAAATCCTGGGTGAGGAGAAATCAACATCTACCACCCTTTTAGTTCGGGCGCCACTGTAGAGACATTAGGATTTTTTTGGAAGGAGGCAAAAATTAAAAATAGCAACCACCTTCGCCGGAAATCGAACCACGGACTTCTGGAATACCGGCCCAGTGTGCAGAACTACTACACCACGAAAGCATGCTAGGAACGTGGGAGAAATACCTTATAAGATGACATATAAACTTTGGACTGGAGATTTTCTGAAAGCACCACAGCAAACACGTAGCGCTTGATGGTGGACTGGATCCAATTTCAGTAAAACAGAAGGTCTTGCTGATCCATAGATAACATAGCCATAGTCAAGTTATGAACAGATTAAAGCTCTACTATAACTGTGGAGCATAGAACAACGTTCTGCTCCCCATGGAGTACTTGCAAGGACTTTCAGTATGTTGAGAGCTTTAGCGCATTTTTTGCTTAAATTTAAGATATGCGGAAAGAAAGTGAGCTTTCTGTCAAAAATAACTCCTAGGAATTTTGCTTCTGGCTCAACGTAGATCAAAGAACCTTCAAGATGCAGCTCTGGATCAGGATGTAGATTTCTTTTGCGACACAAATACATGCAGACGGTCTTCTGGTTAGAAAATTTAAAGCCATTGTTGTTGGAACACTTTATGATTTTGTTTAGAGCAATTTGAAGCTGTCTCTTAATGTATCTCATATCTTGACCGTGACAATAGATCATCAAATCATCAACATACACGGAACCATGCACTGCAGGAGGAAGTTCTCTTGTTCTCTTGTAAGGAGAAATGGAATTAATTTTCAGGCTGAAAAGAGTGACACTGAGCACCGAACCTTGGGGTACACCTTATTGTACAAATACTTGGGAGAGCAACGAACCGATCTTAACTTGGCCAGTGCGGTCCTTCAGAAAGTTTTGAATGAAAATGTGTAAATTACCTCGCAGCCCAGTGCTATAAAGATCATGAAGAGTTCCGTGCCACCAAGTTTTATTGTACGCCTTTTCCATGTCAAAGAAGATTGAAACAAGATTTCTTTTTGCAAATGCATTGCGTACTGCGGTTCCTAAAACAGGGCATTGTCGAGTGAAGATCTTCCCTTACGAAAACCACTTTGGTAAGGCGATAGGCAATGGTTATTCTCCAGATAGTAGGTGAGACGGTGATTTACCAATTTTTTCCATGATCTTGCAAAGGCAGCTAGTGAGCGATGGGGCGATAATTTGAAGGATTTTTCGCCTCCTTGCCGGGTTTTGCTATAGGGATTACAAAGGCCCTGCATCAGGCAGTAGGAAAAATCTTATTATAAAGAGCGAGAAAGCCCACTAGAGATTCATATGGCAAATGCTTTATCATCAAATAATTTATTCCATCAGGACCAGGGCAGATCCTATGAGTGTGAGAAATTGCGCTTCTTAATTCAAACATGGTAAGATCTTTATTATAAGAATCTGTGTTAGGATGGGAAAAGTCGATTTGAATCCTTTCCAAGCGCATGTTTGTGGACAGAAACTCTTCTGAGTCATTGCTGCTGCCAGATACAGCAGCAAACGTATCACTAAAAGCATTGGCTATTTCTTCTCTAGTGTTTATCACCTTTCTGTCTTTTTCTAGAACAGAGAAGAAATAATCATTATATAGTCTAATAATCATTATATAGGCTTTGCGAACTCTTTCCTAAACCTGCTTGCTAGACACTGAGGAGGTAATAGTGGACGCGTAGGCTGCCTATGATTTTCTCTGACTTTACCGTCTCACTTTTCTTTCATTCACCTTAGCTTTTTTAAAGGCAAGAAGATCTGCCACTGTTGGATATCGGTGAAAGATATGCCAAGCTATCTTTTGCTGTCTCGAAGTTTCATCATAATCATTGTTCCACCAGGGTTTAGAGAGCTTTGGGAACTTTGTCGAGGACTTCCGAATACAAAGATCAGCTGCTTGTACAATGGCATCAGAGATTATTTTTACTGCTACATTAATCTCCACATCTTTTAACATTTCTTCGGTCAGCACAGCACAAGATGCAAAAAGATTCCAATTAACTTTATTATAAAGTAAGCGTGGTTGTCTTGAGATCTTTGATTTCCCTGTAATATTTACTATGACTGAGAAGTGGTCACTATCGTAGAGATTCTCCCCTACACTGAAAGAGCACAAGGGTAGTAGAGCTGGAGAAAAAAAAACAGATCAATTGCATGAAATATTCTAGTCGACTGATGAAAGTAAGTGTATTCTCCATTATTAAGGAGACAAATAGAGTGATCTTCCATTAATTGTTCAATCTGCCGGCCCCTTGAATTAGTGTCCCGACTTCCCCATAATGTACTATGGGCATTGAAGTCACCTAAAATCAGAAAAGGTCCTGGGAGCTGCTCTATTATTCTGTCCAACTCTCACTGATTTACATGCTCATGTGGGGGTAAATAAATAGTGTATAATGAGATTGAGAATAGTAAATTAATCTGAACTGCCACAGCTTGAAGGGAGGTCGTCAAAGAGAGAGCAGTGTATGGGTGATTGTGGGAGGCAATAAGGCCCACACCACCACAAGCACGATCCCCACACAGGTTGTCCTTTCTTACTGTGGTATATCTCAGTATCTTAGCATGGGTGCTTGGTGTTAACAAGGTCTCCTGCAGTGCAAAGCAGGCAGGTTGATAGATGTTGATTAAATCCTTGATATTATCCAGGTTTTGACGGAAACCCTGGCAGTTCTACGAAATTAAGGTACCCATTATGGATTCTTGTTTGGGCGGTGTTGTTTTTTTTACTTTCGAGGCAAAAGGTTTTTCGGAAGGGATAACCCTTGTTCAACCTCCATTTCGTCTGAGGCGTCTAGGCGTCCTGGACTTGCTTGTGATAGAACTTTGATTGGTGGTTCAGGGTTTTTGCTTATTTTTCTCTTTGATAACATCTTTATGTCTGTTCTGTTGGAAATCCTGTTTTCCTTTGGACGCAGTCACCGGCGTACTACTTTCAACATCAGGTTTTCCCCTCATTTTTGGTTTCTAGAATCTTCTGTTATTGCTAGATCTTTCTGTGTGGTTATTGTGGTTTGCGCTGATATTGATCTGAATGATTTTGTCGCGGATGCATAAGATTTATTAGGTTTTGGCTGATTCGAGAGAACAAGTGTTTTGGCTTCTGTAAATGATATCTTTTATGTAACTTTGATGCTTTGAATTTGTTTTTCAGTCTGCCATTTCAGACATGACCTTGAAAAAGCTGAGTGCTCGTCTTTAAAATTTATACATAAGGGGGCAGCAAAGCAGCCTACACTGGCATGGCCTACGATGGAACATCGAGCGCACGT